TTTTTACTTAGAATAAAAAAATATATTATAATAGGATACGTCATGTCTGTTTATATATTTTTTCCTCTCTTTATTTTTTTATTACGCAACTTGAATATCTAATAATGTATAGACAGGCGTTTTTTTCACGGTTTTTCATTTTTCATGCTTTATATCGAAGAAAAACTGCCAGACAGCATTTGAATATTTTCTTATGACGCACCGAGAATTTATAAATATCCGCCACTCAATTATTCCACATCAAATTGGTTTTTTACAATTTTTGACAGATAACATCGATATTAAGGATGCTTTTATTCGGTTCGTGTATAATAAAAGAAATAAGGGGATGTTTTAGGCCCGATTTCTTTTAATATTTCTAGTATCATTATTTTTTTTGTTGGTACATATTTTAAGCCTACAGCAAATTTTTCTAGACAGTAACTTACTGGAGCCTTTGCTAAACAAATTTGTAAATTGGTTATTAATTGTACAAATTAACATTAACTGTACTACAATTTTAATTCTCGTTTATTAATTTTATATTGGATAAATCTCATCAGTCTGATTTAGTTAAACATTAGATTAAATTTAGATGTTTTAGTTTTTAATTCAAATTGCTTTAAATTTTAAAATGTATATCGTCCTATGAATGTAACACCCTGAAAATGGAACACCTGTATAAAAAATAATATGCAGTGTGTTCCATTTAAAAGAAATAGAAAAGAAAACTATTTTATATTTTAGAAAGTTTGGCATGGAATTTTGAACACCCTGTATGGTTTAAGATTACGATATTTGTAGCAAAGTATGTACAGACTAATTACAGTAAATACCTAAATTAGTTTTGATTTCAGGACATTTCTTCAATTTTCAATAATTTTTTTAAGAAAGGCTAAAAATTTTATTTTTTATTAATTTTTTAATTATCTTTGAAACAATCAAAACATATTTAATAATATCTTAGGATTTATCTAAAGTGACTAAAAAGGAAGGTAAAAATGCAATAATACAGGGTATGTTCCATTCGAAAAAAAATCATCCCGATCCACTCACACTTTTTTGTGCCACCCTGTACAAGTAAAAAAAATATTTTCCTGAAATACATTCTAACGTTTTTATTCTAGAAGCTACAAATCCCCGAAGCACTTTTGCCGGACCCTGTATATGCAAAATTGTAGTTTATTCTTGTTCGTGAATCGAAAACAAATAAATTACAAAGTTAATTTTGAAACAACAATTTGAAACTCAGTTGGGTTTGCTGAATATATAGTATTTCATATTAAATCCATTCTAGGAGTTTGTAAGTCAGTGTTCTAAAGTTTGTTTGGTCCTAAGTTTTTCTTTATTGACCGAACAAAAACTACTTATGAAAAATAATATTTGTAACAAAATCACTTCTGCGAACTTCCAAGAATTGAACCCTCTTAGGTTTCATTATAAGTAATATAGCTGTATGTATCTTATTTCTAAGCAAGAATGTCAAAAGTTGACATATAATGTGCCATTCTATTCAGAGTGTCATTTTCTATCGAATAAAGTAAAAAAATACCGAAAGTGCCATTTAAAAATCAAAAGTTATAGTCATTTCCGGTGAAACAGGAAGTGACCCAAAAAAAATGAAATCGTCAATCAATCCTAATTTATGTCATATACTAACATACCAAATCTCATTCTTTTAACAGTAAAAATAAAAAAGTTATAGGTGTGAGCCACTTTTGAGACGCACCCGGTATATGCCTAAAATATTCTAAAATTGGTATTAATAGAACACATTAAAATATCAAATATGTTAATTTTATACAATAGGATAATTAGGGTTTTGATTTGGGAATACAATATTTTTAGTATGCATCTTGTTTTGATAGAAACGTCTTCTTGTTTTCTATGTTTTTACGAAATTCTATAGATATTAAATTCTCAAGTCTGTTGTAGTAAAATTCTTCGACGCAATAGGAAATATTTTTAATATTCGTACGTAAGGAAAATGTTTTGATATTAAAGAATTTTTGATGATAATACCGTTAAACCTAAACAAAGATTATACTTCGCGTTTATTTATATTTAATAAAAATATTAACGGGATATAAGATATAAATTTTGTTAAGGGCCTCAGGTGTAGTCAAAGTGTAGTGGAATTAAAATAAAACTTTCAGAAAATAATCTATTTCCTGTCTATGGAGTTTTAGAGATGGGGAGAAATATTTCATGGGACTTTATTTGAAAAAGTCGTCACAAATATTGGAAATGAAGTGTAAGGAAGCCAATATGCAATAATATACCGTATGATCGAAAAAAAACGGCGTCCAGTTGGCTGGCAAATGACGATCAATGACATTTCCCATATAAATTTACATATAAAATGACAGCGACCTTCATTTCATAGCCATCGTTGACGCCGTTTTTTCTCGATCATACGGTATATGGTCGGCTTTATGACGAAAAGGCTATCTCGATTTTTGGCGATTTTGAGATATCAATGTCATGACATGCCCAATCAGTCATATTTTAACATAGCGAATTTGCGCATCTCAATATTATACCTTTTTCATTTTATATTCGTTTAAAAATTTGCCCCATCTCAAATACTACAATTCTTCGTTATGACGACGAGACGTATGTTGAGATAGGGCTCTTTGTTATATCAACTGTTATATACTCTGTTTTTTTTTTCTCAGGTAAGATTTCGACAGACGATGAGAGAAAAAAAGCAGATGACGTCCCATACCAATTTATTTATTTTACTAAAAAAAGTTTCTAATAGTTTTTAAGTTAAATAGGGTTTAAGTATAAATTCGTCATGCGTCGTCACTTGTTGTTTTTAACCAGTTTTATTGGTTTATTTCAAAAATGACAGATCGTATTTCAATTTTATTGGTTTGACGGAACGATAAACGACAAACGGACGCCGATGCGTATGAACTCGCCTTTAGATTTTTGACGTTTGTCAAAGTCTTGCCAAATTATAGGTTATAATTTTGTGACAACTGTTGTCAAATACCCTGCGTTTTGGAAGATGATGCATTTTGATTCGTGTTATTACTTGTGTTTTGTGTCTTTTGATGTCAAGTGGAGGAAAAATCGAGTGAAAATTAACTGTAGAACCCAGAGCACAGTTTATGGTTAATACTCGCTGCCCAGGCAGCAAGTCTTATACAGATACACCAATAAAGTTACTATCAATAAAATTCGTATACCATCTCGTCGTAGATAAGTGCATCTCGAATATGGTAGAAGGACCATACTAAACACAATGACATACTAAAAACTGGAGTAGCTGTAAAATATCGACATCACAAGATAGGTAAATAATGGATTTTAGTACTGCAGAAAAATAATGTCAAAAGGTACTGATTTAAAAAAATTCAGATTAAAGTTAATTAATCAACCTGTGAGGTATAAAATTTGGTAAGTGTTATTATTAATAAAATAGTTTGTTTTATTTATTCCTGCGGAATATTACAAATTTGTATTTGTACATAAGTTATATTGATAAATATAATCATAAATGCAGGAAGTTTCATAAAGCTTGAAAGTAAGAAATAGTTCTTTTTTATATTTTTTGGTATGTGGTGTCTTCTTTTTGTTTGTTTTGGATTAACACATACCGTTTTTTATTAAATAAAATAACTCGATTAAATTTTTTCAGTTTTATACAGTTTTTTTTCACAATATTTTGAAGTTACTTGTCAGTCAAATTTTAAATATATATATTAATTTCCTGCTATGCGTTCCAGTTGTACCAACTTATTTCTTTGTAAAATAAAATAAACTACTTTGAAATTAAAATGACAGACACATCTATCACTGTCAAGGATCTTCTCGTTGGGCAGACTATACCAATTGTTATACTACAAGAGAGATGGAAATTGAGATAGGTCCTTTTGTTTTAAGTTATGAAAATGCATGCAAGAGAAAATCACACCATTCTGTCTAATTTTTTTCTGATGGTTGTTTGGATTAAAATAAAACTTCTATCATGGCAGCAGCCCTCTTTTACAGTGTGATTTTGAGTCTGTTTTTGTTTTTCAAAAACCAAACCAAACCAAAACCAAACCTATAATATTAAGAAAATATCAAGATCTACCACCCCTTTGCACTGGTGATCAACCTGTCATTCAACTCAATTAACTAAATAATTATTAAACATATATTATTAGTTATAAAAATGTATTTTTTGTATAAAAAACAATATTATTAAAATAAGCTAGATAAGAATATTTTAATTTATTATTGTCTTGTTCTGGAATGAAAATTGTTTTTGTTTTAAGTTGATCTAATCCAACGCGAATATAAGTGTTTAAATCTATTTTCTTCTGATTTTTCGGTGATTTTTAGATTTTTTCTTGTATGTGTGTATTATATTTTAGTATATATAAGAACACTTTACCATGATTTTTAAATTTATTTTACATGGGCGTATGTATACTATTCGTTCGGAAAGAAATTTATTATCGTTATAACAAAAAGACCTATCTCTATTAAACAACTAAAAATAAATTATTTATTAAAATTTACGCTCAATTTATGTTCAGAACGTTTCCTCAAGGTCTCCGTTTAAGTGTTAATACAAACACACTATTAAAAAACTAAAGACTTTACATTTATTGGCCAAATAAAGCAAGTGATTTTCTTTAAATTGCTCTCCTGAAAAGTAGCAAAAATCGAGACACGCCTTTTCGTAGTAAAGCCGACGATATCGTGTTCCATTTAAAAAAAGTCACCTCGATCCGGTCACAATTTTTTGAGCCACCCTATAGAAGTTAAAATATTCTCCTGAAATACATCCTGGTACATACTTTAGGTTTGCACTTAATAAAATTCTCAAGTTTTTTATTCTAGGAGCTACAGATGCCCGACGCACTATTGGCGAACCCTGTATAAAACACTGCCAGCGGAATTACGAATTTTAAAATAAAATTATAATAGTATTTATTAAATTTGTAAAAACCGTTAATTATTATTAATGTGGTTAAATTCAGTAACAGCAATTTCAAATATTAGCACAAAAAAAAACTCACCGGACTGATACTGGCGCACACAAAACAAGCGAATAGTCACTGGTAGCGGCTACTGCTATCCGCCAACCAAGCCCAATCACCGCAAAAGCTCACTAATGAAGAGCGAGAAGTTGGTGTCGAGTGGCAAGGCCACTTTTATTTCTTTTGTTGCCCTTCTATATAGCGCACACCATTGACCGAGAGGAAACGTAGACCCATTAAATCACTCACTAATTTTTACTATTCATAATTGTAAAAAGCGCCCGCCACCGGTTTCGGTCAAGCGTGCTACAATCAAGAACCACTTTGCGTTTCTATGAAAAAAAGAAACGTAAACTCCGGTACTAGCCGAGAATGTTTGCGTCAAGAACCATCGGTAATGTGTAGGTGAGGTACTCGCATTTTTGTCGTTTGGTCTGAAGAAAAACAGGTTCGTTCTGGAGTACCTACTGACCAGTTCTTCTGATAATAGACAAGTGGGTAAAAATGTACGTACAGTTAATAGTTATATATATTTTTTCCATAGCATCTGTTAAAATTGCCTTATATCTATCAAAAATACTTGATAAAATAGTACTTCAACCGCAAGGGTAGATTAAATAATGATACTTTAACAGCGAGGATAGGTTAAAAACTTTATTTCTTCTCGCACGTTTTTTAATTGCTTCCATTTTTGAAAATGTTTGTATTCCTTTTCATAAGTTATTCGGGATTTAAATGAAAGTAGTTGGTATATGGCGTTTGACGCCCCAAGTAGCATTTTCACGACTTGCGACCACATGTTTACTAAACACAACGTTGGCACAAATTACCTATAACAGATGCGAAAGAAAGCGACTGCATCGGAAACCGCTCGGCAAGCCCCACGCACACGCCTATTGAGTGGTGTAAATACACCAGTCGTTTAGTCCGGAAACCCATGCTGTGTCGTATTCGCTTGCTGGAATGACATAGTGCGTGGTTATATGTTTCTTCTTAAAAACGCGTGTAGGATTTTTGTTGAACTTTTGAACTGTTATTTCTAAGTTTTGGTAATTTGTATATCTTATTTAAAATGGGATACAAATGTGTTTATCTATAAGGAAAAAAAAAGATATTTAGAGTATAAAACTCATCAGAATTTAATATAAATAATTTTTCCATTTCCAGTAACTAAAATGAACAAATTTTTCCACTTTCATGATCAAAGGCTTTTAAATGGGTAAATAATTTCGAGTTATCCAGAGATTCGGATTCTTTTGCAAATTTTAGACAAATATCACATTGATGTGTTTGAAGACCCTTTTAATTGATGTAGTCAAACATAATTAAAGGCATTTTGAGTTGAAAACATTTCTCAGAGGCTGTTTGATATAATGAAAACTATAGAATTTGACCACCCATGTGAGAAATTTCCTCTTATTTACATCATTAAATGATTTATTAGATTGAAAATATTTGATGTATTAAAGTTTACAAATAAAGATTTATATAGTCGAAAAAAGTCCGATAGAACCAATAGAAAAGTAACTATTTTGTCACATCTTTAATTAAATTTTGTTAAATAAATTAATTTTTTATACTATAAATATTTTTTTTTTCCTAATCTCCTACGAACTGATATAATATGACGAGCAATCTATTAAATTACTGTGAGATTATATGCCTCGATAACATATTGGTGCAGATTATTTTTACCCAAACAAATAATAACCCAAACTATACATTGATGCGGATTGTCTATGAATTCTTTCTGAAGGTCACAGAAACCTGAACGCGTAATTCGGTGTTCTTTCGCATCTGTTGTAGTTAATTTGTGACGTTGGATTAGTTACAAAAATAGTTAGCTCCGTCCCTTAGGTATTAAAATAAATGTAAACGTTGTAACGCTGTGCCGACGTTGCACTAGTACTACAAAAAAGTAGAAGCTTTTGCGACGTCGAATAAACGTTGTCTTGTAACCTTTTTTGCTTAAGTGATCTTTAGGTGATTCGGACAACGTAGTTACAATGTTGGGCAATAAGGAGTTTTCCGACGTCACTTTCAGGACCTATTCCAACGTTATGCAAACGTCGTCTGTTTTACTAAATCCAACGTTGTTTAAATTTCCTTATTCTTACGTTGGTAGGACGTCGAGCCACTACCTTTTTGCAACTGTATTGGACCATAATCTTAAATTTTCACTTCATTGTTCTGTATATAAAATTTTCAGTGCTGTTTCTGTTTTTATAAAAAAAACTTAATTAAAATGGGACGTAAGAAAGGCACATATAAAACTAAATTTAAATTATACATCGACATATTACCGATAACATATATACATAAATTAGGCAATCTTGCGACTAGTATACTACCTGTTAAGGCTGAACTGCGACTTTATTAGTCCAGTATGCGACTTCTCGAAATACTCCATCTTAATCTCCAAAGCAACAAAGTGAAAGCCGCCATGTTCTTGAATAAGAAAAATTTTCGTTCCTGAAATAGCAATTCCTGCTTTTTGAATACATTAACTTGAAATATTTGACTCTAAACACGCGGAAACTATTTTTTTTCGACTGCGAATAAATTATTCTCATTTTACTAAAAAAAAATTCAAGAAATTTTTTAAAACTTCTTTAATTCTAAGGCCCATTAGTATTTTTCAAAGTAGAAACAATACATTTATCAATAAAGTTGTTTGCGTTTAACTTTTTTGCCTTGGGTAACGAGTTACAGAGTTGGTTAAAGTGTTTCAATAATTATGATCTTCAAACATCCTCCACACTTAAATACTTTTGTTTTGTTTTCCTTTACTGCCGTTTTTAAGTTTTATAAAAGGACTTTACAGGTATATTTTTTTACTTACGAAGAGTTTATAGCTCTTATGGACCAAAAACGTTATCAAATTACTGTCGAACAATCATTTATCTCCCGCTAATATATTAAAACCAATCAACATTCCTAAATATTCAAATAATAAGGGATAAATTAGATAAGACTGCAAAACTCAAAGAGAACGACACAAGTGGCAAATATCATTTAACAGTATTAAATAATATGATAATATGCGAAAAAAACGTATTCAACTTCAACAAAGGAAACCATAATACACACCTCACAAAAAATTTCGCAACACTTATATTTTTCGTAGATTTATTCTTGAAACACTTCAAACATTTTTATGTGAAAAACTTAAATCTAAGGTCTGCCTGAGTTATGGTATACTTTCCATTCCTTAACAAGTTGCTATTAATGCAAATAACTTTTCAGATTATTGTTAACCAAGAGAATTTAAGAATACTTTGCAGTTTTCCAAATTAATAAGTGATGCGATAATTTATGTGGGGTGTATATTATTTCAAAATAACATAATATGTAAGGCACTTACATAAAACATGCTTAAAAATAATTCTCAATTTCTTCTCCATCCATATACAGGAGCTCTTTCGCTTCCGGAAACAAGTCTACTTTTTTATTTTTAGAGTGCTTTGGTCGCAGATGTGAAAGTAGAAGATCTGAATATATCAATAAGTTGTGCAAAAGATCTTCAATAGTTTGGCTCCAACAATGATGCAGCATTGAGGGTGGAGTGTTAAATACATCGAAGAAAATTTTGCCGGTTTGAAAAAATATTCTCTTGAGTAATTTTTCTCCAATGTTGAGATTTTCTGAATTGTTGTAAACTGTCCCCCACCCCAATGTGAGGATGGTTCCTCGCCCCTAAAAGCATTCAGTATGTTCCTAGAAAGCGTATAGCTTTTTCAATAAAGAAATTATAGCACAAAAAATTACGGATATAAACTCCGGTCGAATCAATGGAAAACGTAATTAATGGCGAAGAAATTTATTTTTTTCTTCCAGGTTCGGATCTAGGTGGATCAAATTTATATGTAACAGTTTACTAGAAGGTTCACTCTATGATATTTTGTATAAATAACCTTGCGCGAATGTAAGCATTTTTTTGAAAGTCATAGTAAACATGTAGAAACTAGACTTGAAAAAAATTGGGACATTTTTTTCGGGTTTGTTGTTGTTAAAAGACTTTTCTTTACGGAAAAAATTGTTGGAATTGAACAACACAAGGAAACTTCTGAAAATAATAAATTTTATTGTATGAAATTTTTGTACAAATTTGGTAAATTAAGGAAACCATAACTTTAACCCGCCATAACTCCCCGACTAAGAGGTCAACTCAAGAAATATCTCACATGGTGGGGCTCTGGGATGTCCTTTATCCATCTATATAAAAAACTTGATGAATTATTTTTTTTGTTTTTTGGGCTAATGTCCGGCATTTCCCGATTTCGTTACACTGTGCGCCGCGCCGCTTTTTTTATCATACGGTACTATAAATGTTAATTTTATGATAAATTTAAAATATACTGTCGCTAAAATAATGTTTACTTAGAAATTAAACATCTTACAAAGATTGCCAATAACTAATCCAGATTTTGTAGTGATAAATGATCACGTCACAAAGCTATGGATAAATAGACATTACTTGGAATCAGAATTTGGTAAAAAATTTAATAAACAAAACATGGATTTAGGTAATAAATTTAGCTTTATTTTTTGATTGACGCCTCGTGTCGGACATATCTCAGATTAATATCTGAGCGATAAATCATCGTTCTACAGCTGGCAATGCAATTGACCGAAAATTATTCCAGTTTTGTGGTGACATATGCGTCCACAATTTATCTGAAAAAATTAAAAATTCCTGCATGCTGCAATGAAAAATATATGTTACATTCAAAAACAAGTTGGTGTAAATTTATTATATAAAAATAGCTTCAATTTTTTAAGGTAAAGGTATAAAACAAATAATAAATACATATTAACATGATATTTCTTACAAATTGCCAGTTTTTTATGGCTTCTTTACGACAATTACCATATTTAAAAGATGCGGCAATAAAATAATATTTGTTGAATAAATTTCGTGATGACAAAAATGTTTTAGTCCTGATTTTTATGCATAAGTTTATTTTTACAACTGTTTTGTTTAAAAGCATAGGTTAATTTATACATGATTTTAAATCTGGTACAAGTAATATACAGGGTGAGTTTTAATAAGTGCAAATATTTTCAGGGCTGGTAGATCTTGATAAAAGAAACATATTTTCTCTTTACCGTTTTTCAAATAAATTGAAAATATCCGAGTTATTTTACTTTGAAAATTTCACACCTCTACTTTTCAACCAATAACATGCTTTAATGTTGACTAGTTACCATGGCAACTGAAAAAATTTCCGGAAATTTTTTCGAGGCGCCACGAAACTTTAGTGGAAATTTTTTGACAGTTGAAAAGGTAAACATAAGATCTACAATCATAATGTGAATGAACTACAATGTCTAT